GCTCGAATGAAAGCTTCAACAGTTAAACACTGCTTAACTTCTATAAAATTGAATTTCATTGGTGTACTTTTGTCTTCCTTAGCGTTTCATTGGTTACTGAGTATTCATCGTACCATACATTTTATGAGTGGATGAAACGTTGATCCTGGAATGTTATTGTTAACTTCTATTGTGTGAAAGGTATTGACTGGCCTTTGTGGTATGTTTCACAAGAATGCTTTTGTTTGTTTCTTTACTCTACGCTCCATAGGAATGCTGCTCCACAGGAATGTTTTTAATGGAAATTCAACGCTCCACAGGAATGCTTTTGTTGGAAATTCTTTGCTCCACAGGAATGCTTTTGTTGGAAATTCTTTGCTCCACAGGAATGTTTTTGATGGAAATTCTTTGCTCCACAGGAATATTTTTGATGGAAATTCCACGCTCCACAGGGCTGCTTTTGTCCGGAAGGTAACAGGAATGCTTTTGTTGGAAATTCAATGCTCCACAGGAATGCTTTTGTTGGAAATTCCATGCTCCACAGGAATTTGTTGGAAATTCTATGCTCCACAGGAATGCTTTTGTTGGTGCTCCACGCTCCACAGGAATGCTTTTGTCCGGAAGGTATTACTTTCTCTCTACTGAGAGTTACATTTCTGTTATGTATATATACATGTGTAACCGGGGCTGTTCATAAATAACACGTGTTGTTGTATGTGAAGAGGATTTATTGACGGTCTGAACAAACGCCCTGAAACATATACCTAAAATAATAAATATACACTTAAATACATCTTTCACAGTGGTTAAAGCGTTCGCTCGTCACGCCGAAGACCCTGGTTTAATTTCCCACATGGGTACAATGTGTGAAGCCCATGTCTGGTGTTCCCGGCCGTAGTATTGCTTAAAGCGGCGGTAAACACTCACTCACTCACTCACTCACTCACTCACTCACGCAGTTCAATAAGATGGCATGGTGTGTTGTCTATATAAGTCCTCATATATCGTAACATAGCTCCAGATATCGGCATCTCCACCTTGCCTACAGTTTGTCACCGACAGGGAGATATAGCAACAGAGATTCAGAAAATGTTAAAGTTCATATGCCGCTATATTGCCTTACATGTAAAATACTTCAGGTTTAGTATTGGCCAGTGACGTGCTGATGCACCGCTACCGACAGTTTGGATAGTGTTGGATAGACGCAATAAGACGGGCATGTTGCAAACAACGGTAGACACGGCAGACACACGGAAGACACACGTCAGACACACGGTAGACACACGGTAGACACACGGAAAACACACGGTAGACACACGGAAGACACACGGAAGACACACGGTAGACACACGGCAGACACACGGTAGACACACGGCAGACACACGGTAGACACACGGTAGACACACGGTAGACACACGGAAGACACACGGAAGACACACGGTAGAGACACGGAAGACACACGGAAGACACACGGTAGAGACACGGAAGACACAGGGTAGACACACGGTAAACACACGGCAGACACACGGTAGACAAACGGTAGACACACGGTAGACACACGGAAGACACACGGAAGACACACGGTAGAGACACGGAAGACACACGGAAGACACACGGTAGAGACACGGAAGACACAGGGTAGACACACGGCAGACACAGGGTAGACACAAGGCAGACACACGGTACACACACGGCAGACACAGGGTAGACACAAGGCAGACACACGGTACACACACGGCAGACACAGGGTAGACACACGGTAGACATACGGAAGACACACGGTAGACACGCGGTAAACACACGGTAGACACACGGTAGACACGGAAGACACAGGGTAGACACAGGGTAGACACACGGTAGACACACGGAAGACACACGGTAGACACACGGTAGATACACGGTAGACACACGGCAGACACACGGCAGACACTCGGTAGACACACGGTAGACACACGGAAGACACACGGTAGACACATGGAAGACACAGGGTAGACACACGGTAGACACACGGTAGACACACGGCAGACACAGGGTAGACACACGGAAGACACACGGAAGACACACGGTAGACACGGTAGACACACGGTAGACACAAGGTAGACACACGGTACACCCACGGCAGACACAGGGTAGACACACGGCAGACACACGGTACACACAAGGCAGACACAGGGTAGACACACGGTAGACATACGGAAGACCCACGGTAGACCCACGGTAGAGACACGGTAGACACATGGCAGACACACAGTACACACACGGCAGACACAGGGTAGACACAGGGTAGACACACGGAAGACACACGGTAGACACACGGTAGATACACGGTAGACACACGGCAGACACACGGTAGACACACGGTAGACACACGGAAGACACACGGTAGACACATGGAAGACACAGGGTAGACACACGGTAGACACACGGTAGACACACGGCAGACACAGGGTAGACACACGGTAGACACACGGTGGACACACGGAAGACACGGTAGACACACGGTAGACACAGGGTAGACACACGGTACACCCACGGCAGACACAGGGTAGACACACGGAAGACACACGGTACACACAAGGCAGACACAGGGTAGACACACGGCAGACACACGGCAGACACAGGGTAGACACACGGTAGACACGCGGCAGGCACACGGTAGACACACGGAAGGCACACGGTAGACACACGGAAGATACACGGTAGACAGGGTAGACACAGGGTAGACACACGGTAGACACACGGTAGACACGCGGAAGACACACGAAAGACACACGGTAGACACAGGGAAGACACACGGTAGACACGCGAAAGACACGGGTGACACACGGTAGACACACAGGAGACACACGGTAGACACACGGTAGACACACGGTAGACACGCGGAAGACAAACGGTAGACACACGGTAGACACACGAACAACACACGGTAGACACACGGTAGACACACGGAAGACACACGGTAGACACACGGTAGACACACGGTAGACACACGGAAGACAAACGGTAGACACACGGAAGACACACGGTAGACACACGGTAGACACACGGCAGACACACGGCAGACACACGGAAGACACGGTAGACACACGGTAGACACAGGGTAGACACACGGTAGATACACGGAAGACGCACGGTAGACAAACGGTAGACACACGGAAGACACACGGTAGACACACGGCAGACACACGGTAGTCACACAGAAGACACACGGTAGACACACGGCAGACACACGGCAGACACAGGGTAGACACACGGCAGACACACGGTACACACACGGCAGACACACGATAGACATACGGAAGACACACGGTAGACACACGGTAGAGACACGGTAGACACACGGCAGACACACGGTACACACACGGCATACACAGGGTAGACACACGGCAGACACAAGGTACACACACGGCAGACACAGGGTAGACACATGGTAGACATACGGAAGACACACGGTAGACACACGGAAGACACACGGTAGACACACGGTAGACACATGGTAGACACGGAAGACACACGTCAGTCACACGGTAGACACACGGAAGACAAACGGTAGACACACGGCAGACACAGGGCAGACACACGGTACACACACGGCAGACACAGGGTAGACACACGGCAGACACACGGTACACACACGGCAGACACAGGGTAGACACACGGTAGACATACGGAAGACACACGGTCGACACACGGTAAACACACGGTAGACACAGGGTAGACACACGGTAGACACACGGAAGACACACGGTAGACACGGAAGACACAGGGTAGACACACGGTAGACACACGGAAGACACACGGTAGACACATGGAAGACACAGGGTAGACACAGGGTAGACACACGGTAGACACACGGCAGACACAGGGTAGACACAGGGTAGACACACGGTAGACACACGGTAGACACGGAAGACACACCGAAGACACACGGTAGACACACGGTAGACACACGGTAGACACACGGCAGACACACGGCAGACACACGGTAGACACACGGTAGATACACGGTAGACACAGGGCAGACACAGGGTAGACACACGGTAGACACACGGTAGACACACGGCAGACACAGGGTAGACACGGTAGACACGGGGTAGACACACGGTGGACACACGGAAGACACGGTAGACACACGGTAGACACAGGGTAGACATACGGAAGACACACGGTAGACCCACGGTAGAGACACGGTAGACACATGGCAGACACACAGTACACACACGGCAGACACAGGGTAGACACACGGCAGACACACGGTACACACACGGCAGACACAGGGTAGACACGCGGTAGACATACGGAAGACACGCGGAAGACAAACGGTAGACACGCGGTAGACACACGAAGGACACACGGTAGACACACGGTAGACACACGGAAGACACACGGTAGACACACGGAAGACAAACGGTAGACACACGGAAGACACACGGTAGACACAAGGTAGACACACGGCAGACACACGGCAGACACACGGCAGACACACGGAAGACAAACGAAAGACACACGGTAGACACACGGTAGACACACGGTAGACACACGGTAGATACACGGAAGACACACGGTAGACAAACGGTAGACACACGGAAGACACACGGTAGACACACGGCAGACACACGGTAGTCACACGGAAGACACACGGTAGACACACGGTAGACACACGGTAGACACACGGAAGACACACGGTAGACACACGGAAGACACACGGTAGACACGGCAGACACACGGTAGACACAGGGTAGACAGTTACGTATTCTATCATAAACTTCAGATGGCAAATCAACAGAAGTATTAACTTTTTTAGTGCTCCAATTAGGCCCTTTACAAAAAGGTCCAGTGAACATAGTTAACAGGAGCTAATGCATTGCACACAACCAGACATGTCATATTGGCGGGGGATAAGAGTATTTCATGCTTGTTACTCCTGTGTTTTGAATCGTTGTCGTAAGGACCTGGGCCATATTTGTTACGATGTTGATGTTCAAGGAATCGCAAATCTGGATGGCAAGTCAGCTGGTAAAATGGGTGTCGTGACGCTCGCCTACTACATCAGCACCACCGTCGTGGCCCTGGTTGTCGGCCTCACCCTCGTCCTCGCCATCAGATCGGGACGGGGAAACATGATGCAGTCCACCACACAGGAGGCTGGAGCAGCTCCCCATCTCTCTCCCAGGGATGCTTTTCTGGATCTCCTCAGGTTTCATTTCATATCAACGCAATTGCCAAATATGTAATATGCCTATTGGGTCCTGGGTATGTGTGAAATTATTTTCAGTTATTTCACAAACCACTCTTGCCGTAAAAGGCGACTATGCTTGTCGTAAGAGGCGACTAACGGGATCGGGTGGTCAGGCTCGCTAACTTGGTTGATGCATGTCATCGTATCCCAATTGCGTGGATCGATGCTCATGATACTAATCACTGGATTGTCTGGTCCATACTCGATTATTTACAGACGCCCGTCATATAGCTGGAATATTGCCGAGTGCGACGTTAAACAACAAACCAACCAACAACCAACCAACTAAGATGAGGGTCGTGTTGTCGCTGGCTGACGCTTTGTCACAAACAGTTGCTCATGTTATCAACCACTGTTTTCCCCCATACTCGATTATACACAGTGATATGTCCGCGGCGTAAAACAACACTCACTCGCTCACTGATTCTTGCTCATGCTGTCAACCACTGTTTTTCTTCCCAGGCTCGATTAAATACAGTTATATATCCGCGGCGTGACACAACAATCGCTCGCTCACTGATAGCTGCTCATGCTGTCAACCACTGTTTTTCTTCCCAGGCTCGATTAAATACAGTTATATATCCGCGGCGTGACACAACACTCGCTCGCTGACTGCTCGTGCTCTGTTCAACAGGTATACTGGCGTACTGTGTCGTGTTCGGGCTCTGTTTGGGAAGACTAGGAAAGGCCGGTGAAGTGATGCTAAGATTCTTTACCTCGCTCAATGACATCACCATGACAATGGTTACGCTTGTTATTTGGTACGTATGGAATACAGGTTACGTCATATATGTTAACTAGGCTGATAAAAATAACAACATGCAACTACTAAGCTACTGATGTTTTTGAAGAAATGTGTTCATGCCCGCAAACAGGATCGAGTACCAGTGTCAACAAGCAATATGCAATCTCAATAACACATGATATGCAAAAGGCGACAAACGGGATCGGGTGGTCAGACTCGTTCACTTGGTTGATGCATGTAATCGTATCCCAATTGCGCAGATCGATGCTCATGATATCAATCACTGGATTGTCTGGTCGAGACTCGATTATTTACAGACCGCCGTCATATAGCTGGAATATTGCTGGGTGCGGCGTTAAACAACAAACAAACAGATCTGACTGTAGGGCTACCACTGAAATCTGTAAAAAAGTGTATTTAAAGTGGTCGAAGCCACGTAAAATCATGACTTTTTTTCACAAATAGGTATTTGATATTGGTATTACACTGTTTAGTATCATCAATGATTATCTTTCATATTTTTAACTTTGTGAAACACTTTAACTTAGACAAGAAACATGTTAAAGTACTCGGAAATCTTTTTCAGGAACGTCGTCCGGGAAAATATCGTACAGGCAGCCATTCAGCAAACAGGGACAAAGTATGTTTACATGGACAGAAGTGTCGTGAATAATTCCCATGTCGTACAGGGACCTGGAAGAAATGCTTCTTTGGAGGATATACTAACCCCCAATACCACCGGACTGAGGCCACAGAGGCCGGCACACTGGGAACAGAAGAGTGTTTATGTGACAGGGATGGACACAATCGGTGAGAGAACATTTACTTTAAACAGACACTGACTTTGGGAATTCGTTTAGTTTATCGCCACTTTGAACAATATCTCGGTTATATCACGGCGTGTTAACCAGTAGGAGAGCAGTCGGGGGAAAACTAAATGTTTTCTCACTACTTGTGTAATTTATTTTATAATATTTCAATGTTTCAAACATTTGGAACCAGTCTTTAAATTACTTGATGATGTAGACCGAGTCGCTTTGCTTCAGAAACATAGCTGAAGAAAGATCAAGCTGACTTTGGTTTTTAATGAATTTGCAATGGTAGTAGTATTTCGTCACATCAGGGGTGAGTGAGTGAGTTAAAATTTAACGTCGCACCGGCATTATTCCAGCCATAGAGCGACGAGACCAAGTTAATATATTAACAATAAAGTCATTTATGCAAAGTTATATTTAAAAACAAGTTATGAAACATATTTGACCATAACAATATGATGTATACAGTTTTAAAACACGGGCTATAGGCAACAGTAACCAAAGCTAGCCCACCTCGCTGGGGATCAGTAACTCTGCTTCCTGCATGATACCCAGCAGGATTTACGTCATCACTTTAGCCACTGGTGGTAGTGTCGATGCTAGCCAATATTATAAAATACTCGGACCTGAGTTGGCTTTAAAACACTGGTTGATGACAGTTACATCGATTATGATAGGATTATACACAGTGATATATCCGCGGATTGAAACAACACTCACTCGCTCACTGATCGTTGATCATGCTGTCAACCGTTGTTTTTTCCCATACTCGATTATGTACAGTTACATATCCGCGGCCTGAAACAACACTCGCTCGCTGACTGCTCGTGCTCTGTTCAACAGGTATACTGGCGTACTGTGTCGTGTTCGGGCTCTGTTTGGGAAGACTAGGAAAGGCCGGTGAAGTGATGCTAAGATTCTTTACCTCGCTCAATGACATCACCATGACAATGGTTACGCTTGTTATTTGGTACGTATGGAATACAGGTTACGTCATATATGTTAGCTAAATGCTAATAGCTTCTGATATGTGATATGATAAAAACAACAACATGCAAGTACGAAGTTACAAATGCTTTTTAAGAAATGTGTTCATGCCCGCAAACAGGATCGAGAACCAGTGCCAACAAGCAATATGCAATCTCAATAACACATGATATGCAAAAGGCGACAAACGGGATCGGGTGGTCAGACTCGTTGACTTGGTTGATGCATGTAATCGTATCCCAATTGCGCAGATCGATGCTCATGATATCAATCACTGGATTGTCTGGTCGAGACTCGATTATTTACAGACCGCCATCATATAGCTGGAATATTGCTGGGTGCGGAGTTAAACAACAAACAAACAAACAAACAAATAGACACAGAGACCTAAATAAGAACACTGTGACAATAAAAACAAACACATTAACATGAAATGAAATAATATAAGATTTTCTGAAGTAATGATTAAGAAATACGTGAAATATGGTCATTTTATAATGTATTCTTTCATATTGCATTTCTTTTAGCCATTTATATGTAAGTGTTTCGTATGGCTTACTTGAAGCGGACATGTTTGCACAGTGGAGTAATATCTCTACCCAGGTATTCGCCTATAGGGATCCTGTTCCTCACAATGTCCAAGATCCTGGCTGTGGAAGACTTGCTGACCACAGGTCGTCAGCTTGGCATGTACATGATCACCAACCTTGTCGGGTACGCTGTCCACTCCGCTATCGTCCTTCCCCTCATCTACTTAGCGCTCACCAGAAGGAACCCCTACAGGATCACTCGTGGAATACTACAGGCTCTGGTCACTGCAGTCGGAACAAATTCAAGGTGTGTTTGCATCGTAATTATAAGAATATCAACGCACAATGCCATTCAGAAAGTGGTCAAATGTGACAAATGTTATAGTTGGGATAACACGTTCTTAGTAAAGTACAGATTCTAGTCCTTTTGGGGGGTTAAGTCCAATTCGGGATTCGAAGCCACACTGCTAAAGTGATGCACCTAAACGCGAGCACTCAAAGTCGGTGGTTTCAACCTCGGAGGTTTGGTTGTCTAGATCACGTACTTTGTGTAACCCTCTGGCAAGTGTAACTTGGCACGGCTCCCATGGCCGAAAATGGCTGAGTTGGTTTGATCGCTGACTTTGTGTGCTTGCGATCAGGTGCCTCACTCTGGCAGCACGGGTTTGAATCCCGGATAGGATTACAATCAAACGTTAACAAGCAGACGGGCAGGCAGTCAAAGACGCGTGGGGTCATCAATGAAAGTCACAGTCATAACAGCTGACAAGGCATGTGTGTAAAATGTCAGAATACTCATCATAATGTCACGTTAATATCGGGTATGTCCACCTTGAGCATTAATTCACGCCAGAACACGTCGACGGACCATGACGTCAAACGTCGGATGATATTGGGGTGTGTGTGTTGTTTTGTTTTTTTTGTGGGGGGAGGGGATGCGGGGGAGGGGATGCGTTGCCATTCGGCAAGGAGGCATTGCACAACTTCCTGGCGGTTGACCGGAGCAACTGGGTGACTTGGCGATCGAGGTGGTCCCACAAATTTGTTTAGACCCGTGAAGATTCCGGGGTAGAATAGGTTTTCAGCAACCCATGCTTGCCGTAAAAGGTGACTATGCTTGTCGTAAAAGGCGACTAACAGGATCGGGTGGTCAGTCTCGCTGACTTGGTTGATACATGTCATCGATCCTAATTGCGTGGATCGATGCCCATATCAATCACTGGATTGTCTGCTCCAGACTCTATTATTTACAGACTGCTGTCATATAGCTGGAATATTGCTAAGTGCGGCGTTAAACAACTAACCCACAAAAATTCAATTGGGTTCATGTCAGGCGAGCAAGGCGGCCATGGTAAAACCAGAATGTTCGCGTTGTGTTAAGGGGGTGTCAACAAGATTCCTTGGTAGGGTCAATGTGCTTTAATACCATGGGCTCGTAATCTCCTGTACACGGTTTGTCGACTGATCCTGTGCCAGAGTGCCGTAACTGCAGTTAACGTCGCCGTGCCGAAGCGGTTTCGGAGGTGAATTGTCCCGATGTAGCGGTCTTAGATGGTCCTGGTCACCCGTGGTCTTCCGCTTCTCGGCCTGTCTGTTGTCCGGCCCATCTGACGTAACCTTTGCATTAACCTGGTAACGGTTATACTGGCGCATCCAAACATTCTGCCAATGACGGCGTGCGTCACTCCCTGTTGGGCCATTCCAATAATGCGCCGCAATTCGCTGTGCAGAGTTGCGTCTCTTAGGCACGCCAGAAACCTATGATTGTTGGTTCGAATCCCGGTTCCCCCCGATTATGTTTCTAGGTTTGTCAGCACCATACCCGTGCTCGTGGGTTTCACCGAAGTGGTAAACGTCTGAGACCTGCATCACTTCGGGCTTTCCTCCCACAGTAAGCTGACACGCCGTTATATAACTGGAATACTCTTAAAAGCGGCGTTAAACATAGCTCACTCACTCACTTTACATTTGACCTTTTCTAAACGGCATTGTATATTCATGATGAACTTTGTTTATAACAGCGCTGCTACACTTCCGGTGACCGTCCGCTGCTGTGAAGACAACTTGAAGATTGACCGGACCATCTGCCGCTTTGTGCTGCCGATAGGGGTCACCATCAACATGGACGGCACCGCCATCTTCCAAGTCGTCACCGTCGTCTTCATCGCACAACTGAATGCGATACCGCTAAACGTCATCGACTTCTTCATTATCTGGTATTTAACTGAGTTACAAACAATTAGTTAAAAAAATGTCAAATGATGCTTTAAATGTAACTTATACGAATTAGTGTCATGTAGAGAGAGTAAGTGAGTGAGTATGGTTTTATGACGCTTTTAGCAATATTCCAGCTATATTACGGCTGGGGACACCAGAATAGGCTTCACACATTGTACCCATGTCAGGAATCTTCGGCGTGACGAGCGAACGCTTTAACCACTAGGCTACCCGACATCCCAGTGGACTGAAGAAGTGGGATATGTACATGTAGTATGGTGCACAATCGAAGACGAATTCCTGGCTAAATCCTGATCATAACTAAGAAACACGCACGCACGCACGCCATATAAATTAACGGCCCTTGACAAGAAAACGTTGCTAGTGTTCCAACCGAAATAGAAACATGTATTTTGTTTCATTTTGCATGTTATGATTGTTAAGCTATCATCTGTTAACGACTCGCTGTTAGGCATAAGTCATAATCCTTAAATAATATGTTTGAGCGGTTTTGCTAGGACCTGTTGTTCGTGTTTTGAAAGTGCAAGTGGAAAACTCGGTTTTGTGGTCAGAAACGATACAGAAGACCCATACTATCAGATCGATTTCTTCAACATCACATCTTTTGGCCGCTATCGTCTAAGGCGCAGTGATTCGCTGTGCAGAGTTCTGTCCCTTGGTCACGCCAGAAACCTATGAATGTGGGTTTGAATCCCGGTTCGCCGCGATTATGTTTTTAGGGTTGTCAGCACCATACCCGTGCTCGTGGGTTTCACCGAAGTGGTAAACGTCTGAGACCTGCATCAATTCGGGCTTTCCTCCCACATTGAGCTGACACGCCGTGATTGAATTGGAATACTGTTAAAAGCGTCACTCACTCACTCACTCACTCACTCACTCACTTGTAAAAACACAGGCATCATAACCTTTAATTTCTGTACCCTCTCCTGTAACCAAAACCTCATGGCAGCAGTCACGTTAACATTTACGTATAGGATAAATCACGACGAGGAGGCGAGTTTTATACAACTTATGAACCGTCAATGCAATGTTCTCAATGCAAGAAATACCAGAACAAGATGAGAAAACATCGACATACCTTATAGAGAAATAATACAGTGTATCGCGGTATTAAAGGAATTCGCTAAAACCGTGCGAGAGAAAAACACGTGCAGCATGAACGAGCCAGGAGTCATGACATGATAATTTGAATAACTCTTCACCTGCCTCGTCAACTTAACACGATATGTGAGGTAGCAGGTTCGATTTCACGTCATGGAATTTTCATGTGAAAAGAAATTGTGACTTTTAACCAATTACCGAACACAAATGTGTTCACATCAAGAGACAAGTTCATAAAACGTAATTTGTGAAACCAAGGTATTACACTTGAAAAGTACAACCTCTAAGCAATTGTAGAAGAGACCCATTTGAAAACCTTGGTCTGGAAGAGAACCGCTTCTAAACTGGATTCGGAAGATGAGCTGTTTACCCGAGGTTGTCAGGAACCTAATTCAATATAGGGTAATACGGTGATAGGTTTTTAAACGGCGTTAACGTGACACAGCCGTAACATCCCTGCCCCTGCCAACGGGCCGACATGTCCAAAGTCCCGTGAAGATTCGGGTTAGAATAGATCTTCAGCAACCCATGCTTGCCGTAAAAAGCGACTAGGCTTGTCGTAAGAGGCGACTAACGGGATCGGGTGGTCAGGCTCGCTGACTTGGTTGATGCATGTCATCGATCCCAATTGCGTGGATAGATGCTCATGTTATCAATCACTGGATTGTCTGGTCCAGACTCGATTATTTACAGACCGCCGTCATATAGCTGGAATATTGCTGAGTGCGGCGTTAAACAACAAACAAACAAAGACTTGCCCATATGTACAGCTATGTAAAATTTATATTACAATAAGCATATCTTACTTAATCATACCCTTTCATCCTTTTCAGCTTGTGTACAACTTTGACCAGCGTTGGCTCGGCAGGGATCCCCGGGGGCGGCTTTGTAACGCTGTTTGTGGTCATGTCCTGCCCGTTGTCTGGCTCCTGTAAGTCCTTATTAGATAGTAAGGGTGCGCGGTATTACCTGTAAATCGGTGAATTTGGGTTAATTCTTTCCATGATACGTATCATAACATCACGTTTTAATGCTCGGTATATCGGGTGATTTATATCATGTTTTTAATGTTATAAACTTGCCAAATGCTTGTACCTTTGAAATGTTTCCGTAATTCCAAAATGCATTCCGGAGTCCTGTGGCAGTGGTGTTATGCCAAGTCATCACTGTCCCAGAGCGTGTATATTTGCGTATTTATTGAATGAGTAAACATTAAACTGTTCCAGCATCCTTTTTTCTTCCATTTATGAACTTCAATTCCTGCATTGATGTTTCAAATTGCTCAATTCATGCTATCCGCGGGGGCACGGGTGGCCCAGTCGTTTAAGACGCCGCGATTCACTGTGCAGGGTTGTGTCCCTTGGACATGCCAGAAACCTATGATTGCGGGTTCAAATCCCGGTTCGCCCCGATTATGTTTCTAGGTTTGTCAGCACCATACCCGTGCTCGTTGGTTTCACCGAAGTGGTAAATATCAGAGACCTGCATCACTTCGAGCTTTCCTCACACATTAAGCTGACACGCCATGATATAACTGGAATACTGTTTAAAGCGGCGTTAAACCTAACTAACACACACTCATGCTATCTGCGACATGTTATTAAAGCGTTGTAACATCATCATCACTCACTCACTCATTCGAGCGCCCGGCTTCACAAAGCGATCTTAGTGCCTCATTGGTCGTAACTCCAAAACTTTAACGTAGCACTGCGACTGTGGTAACTCAACGATCTCTTTGATAAACGGCCCCCAAAACTGGTGCAGTGTAGCACATTCCACTGTGTCTTCAGTTTCGACTCTGTGGGACTTCCTGACCGCAATAGGCTTATAATACCATGAGCTGACAACACGTGGGTTGTAACATTATGTGACTGAATGCATATTGGTTAATTGTTCCCGACAAGTGTTTATAGTTGTTCTTGCTTTCAACCACTGGTTTGTCATCCCCGTATTCGACCATGTACTCTCCGCCACGATTTCTGTGTCACATTATTGTCCGTATATCGTCCCCGTATGTGTCCCGCTCTGAAGCTCCCGGGGGACTAGACCAATTCAAAGACTGGTCCCTAGGCCATTTTATATAATCACATTCATTAGTTTCTACTTTATTTACATCTGTTGTATCGAAATAGCATTCACTTTGGTACATAGCTGACAATGAATTTATATTTATATATCGTGCGTTAATAATAAATACTATCACTATGCATTTCCTCTGAGAAATATCAGAGATATTGAAATCTTCGGATGTAAATTCTAAAGGAGATAAAGAAAGTCATTCATTCCAAAATGTGGGGATTGGACCCAGGGCCTTCGGCGTGACGACAAAGACCCGGCTACCCCATATCCCTATAATACACTGTATGTACGTCTTTCTATTGGGAGGTGGGTAGCCTTGTGGTTAAAGCGTTCGATCGTCCGTTCCGGGTTCGGTTTCCCACAATGTTACAATGTTCCAAGTCCATTTTTGGTGTATCCCGCCGGGATATTGCTGGTATATTGTTAAAAGTGGCGTAAAACCATACTCCCTGATTCACTTTTCCAGGGGCCGTGTCATCACCATGGTGAATATAAGCGGAGACTGTGTGGCGGCGGCCCCCCTTGCTCACTACTTCCCCCGACAAGGTGCTGGAGCTGTACACAGGGAGCAGGAAGAGAACTTGATAGATCACGCAGACATTGTGTAATGGGAGCCCAGTCGTCTTCAGACATTGTGTAATGGGAGCCAAGTCGTCTTAGAGACATTGTGTAAAGGGAGCCAAGTCGTCTTCAGACATTGTGTAATGGGAGCCAAGTCATCTTCAGACATTGTGTAATGGGAGCCAAGTCGTCTTCAGACATTGTGTAATAGGAGCCAAGTCGTCTTAGAGACATTGTGTAATAGGAGCCAAGTCGTCTTCAGACATTGTGTAATGGGAGCCAAGTCGTCTTCAGACATTGTGTAATGGGAGCCCAGTCGTTTTCAGACATTGTGTAATGGGAGCCAAGTCGTCTTCAGACATTGTGTAATGGGAGCCAAGTCGTGTTCAGACATTGTGTAATGGGAGCCAAGTCGTCTTCAGACATTGTGTAATGGGAGCCAAGTCGTCTTCAGACATTGTGTAATGGGAGCCAAGTCGTCTTCAGACATTGTGTAATGGGAGCCGAGTCGTCTTCAGACATTGTGTAATGGGAGCCAAGTCGTCTTCAGACATTGTGTAATGGAAGCCGACTCGTCTTCAGACATTGTGTATTGGGAGCCAAGTCGTCTTCAGACAGTTGCACACCTTAGCGTGCTGAAAACCTTGTGGGTTCGAATCGCGGTCCGCCCTGAATTATGTTTCTAGATTTGTCAGTACTTTACATGTGCTCATGAGTCTCACCGAAGTGGTAAATGTCTAAGACCTGCATCACCTCAGGGGTTTTTTCCACATCAATCTGAAATACCATTGAAATGCCGTTCGATGCGGCTTTAAAACAAACTCAATTGGTTTTTAATTAGTGATGAAGATGCGAATGCTGTTTGTAATATAACTGAATCAAAGACTGGTTATATGACATCGAGACTTACTTTCCTAAGGTATGAGCGACATATGTTTGGATCCCACCTTATATTAAAATACTAGCCTCTGATTGGTTAAGGAGAGGGCAATTATTTTATATTATGTATCGAATAAGTATCGATGAGTTGAAATTAACTGATGTTTAGCAGGCGTATGGGGTAAAGGGAAGTAACTCGGTTCGTTTGCGCCCTCGTCTGCTACGAGGTTTACAAACACAGTGAAAATGCGGACATATAAGGTCCTGCTTGAATGAATGTCTGTAAGATCATTCGTTCTCGGGGCATATGGTGTGATGTACCCTGTGTGTGAGCCTGACGGCTCAGGGTACATATGCGCACACACAGGGTACATCACACCATATGCCCCTCTAGAACTGTTGACAACTTAATGGTAATATATATTTTGGAGGACTGTTCTGAATGACGTAAACCCCGCCAGCCTTCTTCCACATTGATACGTCGTCATCATGACACGATGAGACCTACTACAACATGTACCATGGAGTGAAGCAGTACAGACCCAGTGTATGACATCAGGTAGACACCAGACCCGTGAAGATCCGGGGTAGAATGGGTCTTCAGCAACCCATGCTTGCCGTAAAAGGCGACTACGCTTGTCGTAAGAGGCTAACGGGATCGGGTGGTCAGGCTTGCTGACTTGGTTGATACATGTCATCGATCCCAATTGCGCGGATCGATGCTCATGATGTTAATCACTGGATTGTCTGGTCCAGACTCGATTATTTACAGACCGCCGTCATATAGCTGGACTATTGCTGAGTGCGCTGTTAAACAACAAACAAAACAAACAGAAACGTTCTATGTTTTGTGTGTTTATTATAAGCTACAGCAGGCCTGTAATTGATATTAACCAACGTCCCACAACGTCGGGCAACGATGACAGGCAATCAACCAAGTCACTGAGCCTGACAACCAATCTAATTTAGCCTGTCGTCTCCTACGACAAGAGCTGGAGAGTTGGGGTGTTCACCTTTAACTCACGACAAGACCTGGAGAGCTGGGGTGTTCACCTTCAACTCACGACAAGAGCGGGAGAGTTGGGGTGTTCACCTTTAACTCACGACAAGACCTGGAGAGTTGGGGTGTTCACCTTTAACTCACGACAAGACCTGGAGAGTTGGGGTGTTCACCTTTAACTCACGACAAGACCTGGAGAGTTGGGGTGTTCACCTTTCACTCACGACAAGAACTTGAGAGTTGGGGTGTTCACCTTTCACTCACGACAAGACCTGGAGACTTAGGGTGTTCAGTTTTAACTCAAGACAACAGGCTGGGGAGTTGGGGTGTTCACCTTTAACTCACGACAAGACCTGGAGAGTTGGGGTGTTCACGTTCAACTCACGACAAGACCTGGAGACTTAGGGTGTTCAGTTTTAACTCAAGACAAGAGCTGGGGAGTTGGTTGTTCACCTTCAACTCACGACAAGACCTGGAGAGTTGGGGTGTTCACTTTTAACTCACGACAAGAGCTGGGGAGTTGGGGTGTTCACCTTCAACTCACGACGAAATGAGAAACGCCCGGTGACGACACAATCTAAGTCGCTTCCGTCATGCTGAGTGGGTTTTTTCATTTTTAACGTTTCAGGATCAGGGTCCCCTTCTACAAAGCGATCGTAGCGCCACGACAGTCGCAAGTCTTTATTATAGTATGGTAGTTACGAGTTTCCTTATCGCGACGACAGCTTTGTGGAACGGAGCCCTGTTTTCTTCCGCGACACAACCGGTGGCACGTGACTGTGTACACATTTAGGTCATACGCTCATGAAATAGCAAAAAGTAGGAGAATTAACTTTGTGTCAGGTTGTCCTTGGGCTGAGAGAGTGAGGGCGATGTGTTGTATTGTTAACATTTCCTACTGATGAATTAAACTAATTATGTGAGCTGATAGTGTTTTGAAAAATAAATAATAATATGGATTTGACAGTTCCCCTTCCTTCAAATTGTAACATGACACTTCAGTGGCAGTAAAACAGTATTTTTATTAAAGCATTATGATAAAAGAAAACTTTTTCAGGAAACTATGCATTATATTAACAACTAAGAATTACAGTAACACTCAAGCATTATAGTAACAACTATGCATTATAGCAACAACGATGCAGAATAGTAATTACGATGCATTATTGTAACAACCATGCATTATTAGTAACAACGATGCATTATTGTAACAACTATGCATTATTAGTAACAACAATGCATTATAGTAACAACTATGCATTGTTAGTAACAACGATGCATTATAGTAACAACGATGCATTATTAGTAACAACGATTCATTATTGTAACAACTAAGAATGATAGTAACAATTATGCATTATAGTAACAACTATGCAGAATCGTAATAACGATGCATTAAAGTAACAACTATGCATTATTAGTAACAAGGAAGCATTATTGTTTTTACTATGCATTATTAGTAACAACGATGCATTATAGTAACAACGATGCGTTATTGTAACAAGGATGCATTATAGTAACAACTATCCATTATAGTAACAACTATGCATTATAGTAACAACTATGCATTATAGCAACAACGATGCATTATAGTAACAATTATGCATTATAGTAACAACGATACATTATAGAAACACCTATGCATTATATTATCAAAGATGCATTATTAGTAACAACAATGCATTATAGTAACAAAGATGCATTATTACTAACAACGATGCATTATAGTAACAACGATGCATTATAGTCACAACGATGCATTATTAGTAACAACGATGCATTATTGTAATAACGATGCATTATTAGTAACAACGATGCATTATAGTAACAACTATACGTTATAGTAACAACTATGCATTATGGTAACAACAATGCATTATTGTAACAACGATGCATTATTGTAAGAACGATATATTATAGTAACAATGATGCATTATAGTAACAACTATGCATTATTAGTAACAACGATGCATTATAGTAACAACGATGGATTATTTTAACAACGATGCATTATAGTAACAACTATGCATTATTAGTAACAACTATGCATTATTAGTAACAACGATACATTATAGTAACAACGATGCGTTATAGTAACAACTGTGCATTATAGTAACAACTATGCATTATGGTAACAACGATGCATTATAGTAACAACTGTGCATTACAGTAACAACTATGCATTATGGTAACATCGATGCATTATTGTAACAACGATGCATTATTAGTAATAACGATGCATTATTGTAACAACTATGCATTATTAGTAACAACTATGCATTATTAGTAACAACGATGCATTATTGTAACATCTATGCAATATTAGCAACAACGATGCATTATAGTAACAACGATGGATTATTGTAACAACGATGCATTATAGTAACAACTATGCATTATTAGTAACAACTATGCATTATTAGTAACAACGTATTAACAAACAACAATGCATTATTGTAACATCTATGCATTATTAGTAGCAACGATGTATTATTGTAACAACGATGCATTATAATAACAACGATGGATTATTGTAACAACGATGCATTATAGTAACAACTATGCATTATTAGTAACAACTATGCATTATTAGTAACAACGATACATTATAGTAACAATGATGCATTATAGTAACAACTGTGCATTACAGTAACAACTATGCATTATGGTAACATCGATGCATTATTGTAACAACTATGCATTATTAGTAACAACGATGCATTATAGTTGCAACGATGCATTATTGTAACAACGATGCATTATATTGACAACTATGCATTATAGTAACAACTATGCATTATACTAACAACGTATTAACAAACAACAATGCAAGACATGTTCTCTATTCATTTAAGATGCTGCACACTTATCAAATACAACAAAAGATAAATCCAAGATAAGCGTCACATGTGAACCATCAATGAATAATAATATGCTTATGATCTTGAACTCAAAAAACATTTATTTAAATCTCGAGCCCTTATTCAATTTTCAACTTACAAATGTATATCTTACTCATTTATAATGTTTATCTACTGATAAGAGGTTGTATTATCGGGTGGGACATAACTATTAGCTGTCTTGTATAAGTCTAGTTTGTGAAGAAAACAAAACATTTTTTTCGGAGATCACTGGTCTCGTCAAAATTAGGATAAGAACTATCGTATT